CCCCATGTCCCGCTGCTCGAAAAACAATCTATTCTATAGAAACAAATAACTCAAATACTCTCGATTTCGTTTTAACCAATGATTCAATGTCCCCATATCCCGCTGCTCGAAAAAAAATCTATTCTATAGAAACAAATAGCTCAAATATCCTCGATTTCGTTTCAACCAATCATTCAGTGTCCCCATGTCCCGACTACCGATATAGAAACTACAATATAAGGAAAATGATGAGTAACATTTACTTTTAGAAGAAAACAATAAATAGAACGACTAATGGTTTTTCATCAACAAAATAACGGTACGAAGATACTTTTTATCGTTCGAGAAGTAATACTAAATATAAATTTGACAAGAAACAAACAAGTTTTCTTGAATGAGTTAGAAAAATTTTTAAACAAACAAAGTAAACTAAGTGATTCCAGTCTGAACTAGATTCCAAACTCAACTGCAACAATTACTAATGATTGCCAATAATTACTAATGATTGCCAATAATTACTAATGATTGCTTTGATTGCTTTGATAGCAATCACCTTTTTTCCCCTTGCATCCACACCCGCACCCCGCGCTCACACCCAAAATGCTTGTCGTCGTCTTCTTCTTCGAGAGAAATATCAAATAGCCGCAATTAAAGAAAAATGAACGTTTAATGTAAAACGAATGATACAGCAGCAATTCATTATTTCTTCTGTTTACTATCAACTAGTTATTTGCTGTTCGTATAAATATGCCTTAAAAATGGGGACACTGATTGAAGATGAAAGGTTAGAAAGTTTTGGCGCCTCGTCGACGATGTAACAGAGAAAGAAGAGAAGTGAAACAATAGAAGAGAATCCCCATAAGAACACATATAACGAGTAACGTTGGAAAATGTTTCGGATTTTTATCCATCAGAGCACCTGCAAACAAAATTTGAAGATATTATATTTTCAGACAAAAGAAGTTAACTTACCAGCTAGTTTCTGAAAGAACATCCCTCCGAATGACGCACTGCACAAGAACACACCGATCAATAATGGAGTGACATTCAATCGTTGATTGATAAAAGCAAATGATGAGGGAAAAATTGGAGAGAAAACTAGACCGGTGAATATGCCAAGAACAAGCAAACTATACATGGACAATCCAATTGTCCACACATAAATCATCCATATTATGGCCAATACCAATCCACTGATCCAGAGCACAGTCAATGCTACGTCAACCGACAGAAATAAAGTTACCATAGCACAGATCAAACGACCGATCTGAAGAAAAATCTCTTCTCACAATACTGATAGAGAATTGAAAATTTGACTTACCGAATACGAGAGCCAGTAGAGAATCAAGCCTAAAGAGGCAGTTTTTGTTGAAATTTGAAATTGTTTGGAGTTTAGATAAGAAAAAAAGAATCTGCCAAATGTCTGATCAATAGCAATGACAAAAAACAAGTAAATAGCCCATAGAATGGACATGAATCTGCTGTAATAAAAATGATCATAACTACGTGTTTGTGGTGAATGTTCTGAATAATCGGGTTGAACTTCGTCAAGAGATGTCGTATTCACGGCAATATAATTGACTTGTTGAACTTGAAGTATTTGACGTCGAGTTCGATGTTCACAAATGGCAAATATCATATGACCGATGGTTATCAGTAAGCAAAGACTTGCTGCGATTGAATATGGAATTTTGATATTTGTTGAAGATGAAAATGAAAAAAGTTCCCATGGTAGAATTGATATTTGAATTGGATAATTCAATCTGTCCTTCACCGAGAAATTGCGCTACGAGAATATTAGCTAATGCGGCACCAATCCCATAGCCCAAGTGAACCGTATTCAATGGAGTTGATGCATGATCATCCCACATGGTCAATATAAGACTTGTGCCACCTACAACAAGCGTTATTCAACGTCTGCATGTTTTAGAATTATCAACAAAACTGACCGATATCGGTAAATCCTTGAGAGATACCTTGACAGAAGAACAAAATCGATAGAACCAACAATGAGCCAATATATGGAGTGACAAAAACGACTAGAAATTATCAAATGATCGAATGACAAAAGATTCAAATTTGCTGACCAACAGATGGAATAAAAAATGCAACAGCAAGTAAAGCTTCTGGATATCGTTTAACCATTTTTTGCATAACTGCTCCAGCTATACTTCCAGTCATATACCCACCATTGCGAGTAGCTAAAATCGTACTGATTCCAGTGAAAGTTACACCTGTCTGAGAAGCCAATATTTTCAAAGTTGGTCCAACCAGTTCCCCATGAATGCCCTATCATCATCAATCAATAACTCTTTTAGACAGAAGAAACAATCGAAAAATAACTAACCATAACAATCCAAGAAGTCAACAGAAAACCCGTTTTGAGCAATTCCCAGCGTCGCGAAAAATACAATTGCAGACTTGTCTTCTTTTGTGTCTCGATCTTATTATCCGGTTTCGAAGCCATTGATTATCTTCTTCTTCGCCGACTAGCAATCAAATAAGCAATAGTCATGAAAATATAAAAATAGAAATCAAATTCTCATGTAGTGTCTGACTTTGAAGGTTAATGTTAAGCAAATATTTCTAAGTAATAAAGATTGAGGTGAGTATCGCTCTATGCAAATAAAAGAATTCTAAAGAATAAAATACAACATTTCTTCTCTTCGAAAACCCTCGACGAATCTTTCGTTCATCATTCTTCCTTGCATATATATGTGTCCATTAGATCTCCCTGTAAATATTCATGTTCTTGAGAGGAGAACAACAACACGATCAATGTAACGTAAAGGACATACTCACACAAGCAATATCAGCGAGTACCTTGCCTTATTGTGACAATTTAAATAATGAAAGAAATGGTAAGAAACAGACTCTGACAAAGTCACTTGGTTTTTTTTATGTTCTGTCCTTCTGATACGTATGTATACACATCTTTATATCACATCAAGTCATTCTACGTAGATCATTTTTCTTTTTCTGCATGTGTATCACAACCACAGCATAGTTTCTTATCTGGTTTATGGTTATCTCTACAATAAAAATTTGAAACGATGTCTCGAACCCTTCAATGATGCTCCTCATCATATTTTAGAGTTTCATAACTGTTACATACACGTTTTCTTTATTTTTGGAATATGTCATATCGATCAATGGCAACATACAATCAGTGTAGATTTGAGATAATACTGTCTCTACGTATGTGAGCGAAGTCGACAATTAAAACAACTCAAACCATCAAATGATGAAATTAAATTATAAATTGAAAATTTATGCCATTACCAGCGATTGTCCGGTATTGAGGCTTATTTTAGATTTTATCGGTCATGGCGGTTATTTTTGTTGTTGGTTCTGTTATATTCGTGGTAAACATATAAGTGGCAAACGCCAATACAAATTTGAATTACCAATGATTATGCATGATGCAGCTGTTTATGAAGAAGAATCCTATCTTGCTCAAGATAAACAAATTAATATATATGGACATTTAGATGTAAGTATTTTAACATCAATTCTTGATATACCATTACCTGATGCAGTGATAATTGATTATCTTCACGTAACACTGTTAGGGCATGCAAAATCTCTTATATCAAATATATTTTACAGTTTGAAGTCAATTGAACGTTTACAAGTTGATAGTCGACTAACAAAACAAAATTTTTCACAGTATTTTAATCGAAAAATGAAAGCAATAAGTAATTTTGGTTTCGTAAAAGCAACTGAATTAAAAAATATTTTATTTTATGGCGTCTTACTAATTTTTCATGTATATCTGTCCATTGAAAAATGATCTCATCTAGCATTATTTGTTTGCTTTACTCGTTTATTACATGGTCAATCAATAGTTGGATTAGAAACAGGCAAGCTTGCTGATGAATTATTTCAACAATTTTATCGTGATCATGATGAACATTATTACGGCCTTCAGAATCTGGTTTTGCATTTACACACGGATTTTGTAACAATGTATCAGAATCATAGTGCTTTATCAAATATCGAATGCTTCGGCCAAGAAGATCTCATTGGATCAGTTGAATCCAATCATCATGGCACTAGATATTATGGTGAATCAATTGCTTATTACTATAATATCGATTTTTCTTTACATAACAAATCGAAAACAAACAACAACAATGAATGAAGCGTTTGGTCCAGTAAATGAATCTCTTGATCAATATGATAATTTTCATGCTGAACTATGCGATTGTGCACAACTATATAAATACTTTAGGATTTATCGTCGTTTTATTATTAAACAACAAATGTTTCATTCATTGATGTACAAGAAACGTGGTAACTCCATAAGTTATTTCATCCAGTATTCATATGATGAATGTTATTATAACTTTGGAACCATTGAATATTTTTTTTCTCTAAAATCCAAAGAAAAATCATATGCTGTTATTAACATGTATGGTATAATGCAAAAGTATAGTGATCATTTTGAACAGTCGAAATATTATCTTTTATTGAAAGAACTTTTAGATAGTTTTTTGTTTTGTTTTAGAGAATTGCCCTTGTAAAAAAAAACAATTGTTGCGACTGATTGCATATTGAAACATTGTATTGTATTTGACATGAATGAATGTATTCTTATTACACCTGTTTCTACATATAATGAACACGACTAATTACCTAAATAATGTATCTAATTTTTTTTCTGTTTCAGATAAATATTCAAGTATATATTTGTATATAATCAACGAAAATGTTATTTGATCGAGGTCAACGAGAAAAAAAGTAAAAAAAAAATATATTCTCCATCGGATCCATTGGAACCATATTATTATTTAGTTTCTCATGACGGTCCAGAAAAGTATCGAGTTGGGTGTGAGTGTCATTCCTCTCTTTGCTTAGACCCACACCCTAATGTTGCTTGCACTAGGATCGATATTGTAACCAATTGCAAGCGCTGTAAAAAGAAGACCCAAATAAAAATATAAGAAATTGATAATATTGACAGCCACAAAGCAAAGTGTGTATAGATTTTTTTCGTAGAGTATCCTTGGTAAATACTATCAAATTCAATATACAACTGATAATGGATGACCTATAATGAGTGGCCACACTTTGCATTGCATAGTTTAATTTCTAAATCCATCCTATTAAAAAAACAGAATATACCATAAGATGTAGCATGAAAAGCTCTACAATTTACAAAATAAAGCATATTCTAATTGAGTATTGGTGTGGGTGTCCGTGTGAGTGCGGATGCTCATACCCTCAGCAAGTCGAAAAACAAGAAAATTAATTGGTTCACATGTTATACAAACCATTTCCAAACAAATGACAGACTGATTGTTCTTGTTTTGTTGCAAGTTCCTCGTTTCGTCATTTTTGTTTGTTTCTTATCTCCGCTCTTCAAATAAATCAAGATCTTCGTCACAATTTTATTTCTCTTTTACTGAATGATTTATACAAAACTGCAGTTCGATCTCGACGTGTTTGTGTGAGACTTAACCTTTTGGTGAGTTTATTCAAGATCATACAGCTTCATGAATAATCAAAAAGAAGACGTATCACTTTTCTACCAACCAGCTTGCTGTAATCCTATATTGATACATCCCGATTTATGTCGATCGAATGAAATGCAAATGGCAAGTTGTTCTTACGCAAACACGATCAATATCGCATTTAAAAGGATAGAGTTGAGCATAGACGATGTGTGATTATGTCTTTTGATGTATATCAATATCATTCTTTCACAAGCAAATCCACTCTACGATGAAGATACTAGTACTTTCTTGTCTTGTTGTTCTTTTAGCGACTGGTACAAGTACAGACCAATTGGCAGGATCATGGTCAGGTCCGTTTCAGCTTAGAGGTCAATGCAATACGACACAATGCTGCTGTGTCACAGGCAAACTAGTTGGAATTCACCAGGGACAATATCTATTTCTTATCTCGGGAGCAAGTTCAAGTTGCCCACGAGACTTTATTCTGCTAAGCGGGCCATATCCAAATGAAAACTCATTCACTACGAGTGAATCCGATATTGATATGGTTCGATATGAAGTCACAGCCGATGGAACAATGCTTACGATCACCAATTTATTAGTTCCCTGCTGCAGCGACGTTGGCGACCTTATCACACCCAATAGAACAGATCGCAGCAATTCGAGCAACTTCAGAACATAGATGCAAGGCACGCTTCTGCAAGACTATTTAATAAAGCGAAGCTCCTTTTTGTCTTCATATATTATTCGCTTTTATGATCTAGATGATAAATAAAACAAGCATACCTACCGTTGGAAAAAAATAGGTACAGTTGGTTTTTTAGATATATTGTCACCATAGAAATAAACCAGGTGTCAAAAGTCATGATCACTTAAGAAGTGTGAGTGTGGATGTAGGTAGGTGTAAATGCGTTCGGATCTACATTTAAACCACACTTACACCCACACACTTAATTATACTAGTGGATGTAACACTCGGAAGTGCTTACATGATGATAGAAAAAGAAAGAGGAAAATGGAGATATCTAATTCTGAAGAAACATCATGAACGCCAAGGATTTCGTAATTTGCTACCAATGTAATTATGATGAGTATTAGCTCATATTTGTAAGGATATCAAGGGAATAAATAAAAACAATAACACAACTATCTTAAAGAAGTAGAAATGAAGTATACTGATAAGAAGAAGCAAGGAGAAAAAAGTAATATCACAAGTCGATCACAATTTAATTTTCGTGCTTCTTTTCTTTCCAGAATTCTTTTCTTGCTGAGAATTTTGTCGAGATTCTTTTTCTTTCTGCTCAGTGCGAAGTTCTTATAATCATTCGAGAAGATGCTGCGCGTGCCTGTTTAAAGAGCTCTGATGGTCATCAAATATTTGAACTTGAACAAAAAATTCCTGTGCAGTCCGATAGTTGTCGATTTATCGTGCAAAAAAAGAGAAAGGTCATTGGACACAATCTGCATTTCCATTTTGGGTATCGGAGATAAGGATGGACTTCTCAAGACTCGACTACAAGATACAGTTACCATATTGAAACTTAAAATTTTGATTTCTTTTTCTAGTCTACCAGATCGGTGTTCTCTCACTTTTCGCAGCAAATCGCTTCACGAACAGCAAACCTTAATTGCCTGCAACATTCGACATGGATCTAGAATAGATTGTTGCGGATTGTAATAAGAAGTACGGATTTTTATCAAGAATGAATAAAATCACATGAAATCGTCTGGTTGATGTTGTGGGTGTACATGTGGGAGTTCTCTAAATCCAAAATAACATATCAACGCCCACATTCAGATCCACCCACAATATATTTTCTTACGTTGCGTAGATCCCGTCGACGATTATAATGGGCATTTCGCCTGAAATGAAAACTCTCTCGCTAACAAGTCCTGAGGTCCAACCGAGGAGCGAATTAATGGACAGATCAAATCAATTTAACTCGACATAAAATTTGGACATCTGGTTATCAAGCATCATTCTGAAATCTGTTCGTTGTTAAGCCTAGTGACACAGCTATTTCGTTTCGTTTCGCTTGATTAGATTTGATCTATTATTGAGTTATATTCGTCTGTGCTGTGAAGCATCGTTTTTAATACTGATGTCGTCAGGTTTTTATTCTATATACTTTCATCATACAATATACAGTATGGGACACTGTAGTCTGATAGCATCATTCGACATCAGATCTGTTACGTAGATTTTCTATACAATGGTTAAATGGATTTTTTCGTTTATCTTACTCTATACATTTCATGTACTGGGTACTGTTTCTAATTTTACTTCTGATGATGTCTTTCAGATAAACTTTTTGGGATTGATATGTTAGAAGACTATTTTTTTGAAAAGACTTATACGCACCAAACGTCATCAAAATTGACAGTAATCAGATTTTTGTATATTCAGAAATACCGCTACTTGTCCCTATGTACGAATATACTAAGGTGTATTGAACATTACTTGAATTGGTAGCATTATGCATGGATTCTTTTTCTTATGATACGAATGTTTGCTAGACTATCATCATGCTATCAAACAATTCTTGGATGTGCCTACCTTTCAAATCATATTTTTCTCATGAATCTCCTGTTTCGTCGGTCTAAATTCGTGTTGAGTATTAGTCTGCTTCAAGATTTTTTTTTTCGTATGTAAGCGAATTGTTCTTGACGCATATGCATTGTTCTCAAAACAAGTTTCGTGCACATGGTGCATAGAAAGAAATGTAATAGACTTGCTGATTTCTTCAAATGCGAGACAAAGAAATCGAAGCGATACTTCGTAACGTAGGCATGTTTAACAGAACAAGCAACAGATGAAGGTAAATACTAACGATACGTTTTTTTTTTCTTCATCGAAATCACTTGCTTTATTTTTTTTCAATGAAGAACACAGTAGTGACATGACCACTTTAAACCACACGCACTCCTCTCTGATGAAAATGATATGTCTCTCTATGTCAGCATGAAGAATGTCCTTTTTGTGGACCATATTAGATGGTTTCCCATCGATATTTTGTAAAACTATGACGATTTTGAAAAATTCATATCTTGGCAACATTAAATCCGAATATTCTGAAACTCTGTACTTAGACTATTCTATCCAGATCGTGGATGTGGGTGTCAATGTATTTATTCCCTTGACCCACACTTACACTCTCGTCGTTGATTTTCTCTAGTACCTACCTGGAGCAGCTTTAACACCATTCAATGAAACTGAACGACTGAGAAAGTCGTAATTTCATCATCAGCATAGTGTTCGTTTTAGGACGAGTTTCAATGTATTGGCAAAATGTGTGACCCACTTAATGTTGTTATGGTATCGACCATATGTGGCTGCCGAATCGCTTGTATGGTTCAAGACCAATATCGCACCTATGGACACTTAAAGAAAACCGTTGCCTCGTGAAATAGATTGCATAAATTCTAAAAACAGCATACTTTGAATCTCATAAATAAAGACTTTTCAACAAAGAAACTAGCCAGTCCGAGACAAATCTCCGATCCAACTCGATGATTATTTAATTTGGTTTAAGTTACACATTTATTTAATGATATATAAATTGAAAAAAAAATCAACAATCATACCTTGTATACATGAATTTGTGTAGAAACAATAAAATATAAAATGATATGCACAAGACGAACGGATAGTTCTATGCAACATGTATGCAAGGCTTAGTTTGATCTGTTGTTTGACAATTTACTTCCTGCACACTATTTGTATTTTTGTGGGTCCTTATATTAGATTGTATTATGTCCTATGCTTATATTCAGTAGCTATAGACTCTGATTTGATCCACAGAAACAAGTTATTGTATTACATACATTTAGATAGCCGTAAATATCTATCAGTGTTGACTCAAACATTTCATTTATTTAATAGATCATCTCTTCTTTAGGTTGTAAATAAATTATAAAATAACTTAACAGTCATATCTACTATACTATTAAAAACAGGACCTTTTTTCTACCGGTAAATAAAAGCCTTTCGTTCAAATGGACTTTTTCCAAAAAAAAAACATGGGTGTTAAGAATGAAAGAATTTTTCTTTCAAATTAAAACAGTCTTTTCTGTTGTGCTTTCCATTACGATCTGCCTAGATACTTTTCACAATCATTTTCAAATGTCATTGATGATCTAAATAATGACATTCATCTAGAGATAGCTGCCGTTCATTACAATTTTAATACTGTGAGTGTTTCTTGTGGATATGAGAGCGAAACGTTTCTATCACAAGTTATATTGACAACCGCTCTAATCCGTTTAAGGTCGTCATCAGTGATATTAATAGCGACAATCGATAGGGCATTGTTATCACCAGTCTTGTCAGTGTACTTCTTGGATATGGCAATCTAAGTTTTGCAACGCAAGTCACGTATACAACTGGCAATAATACGAACTTGCTTACCGTTGTTGATTTCAACAATGCTAATCAAAAAGACATTGTTTGTTAGTAACTCTATCAGTAACATTATAAATGTATTGAGAGAATATGACAATGGAAGTTTTGGAGCTCAAGCCACATTTTTAACTAGTTGTCAGTCATACATATTGATGGTGAAAGATTTTAACGACAATAATATGATGGATATGGTTGTCGAAAATTATGGTAGCAACATTTTTAGTGTACTTTTTGGGTATAGAAACCTCACTTTTGCAATTAGAATTCTCTCGCTCGAGGTCATCATCGAAGATTTGAGAATATGGATGTGGGTAGGATGCGCAAATGTTCTTCTTCTCTTCATCCACAACGACATCCACACCCACACTCTTGAATCCTGTTTTCAAATTTGGTCAGAGTCTTGAAACTGTATGGCTGCACGCTTTCTTCAGAACTTAGTCATTTCCTCAGGAAAAAAACAGTGAATTCTTGCAGGAATCTTACGGAAATATGAAGAATTTTTGCTAGGGATAGCCAGTTTGTTTACTTGGTAAAAGAACAATGCTTGTGTAGAACTCTAATTAATTGAATCTTGCCTAGAAACCCGCAATTAGTCGAAACGGACCTAGGATTTGGAATGAATGTTATCTATTATATCTACTCAGCTCGGTTCTGTGCAACAGAGACAAGCCAATGTGCGAAGTTAAAAAAAAATTTCACAGAAAGATAAAATAAAAGTAATTTGAAATACAAAATGAAACAATTTCTCAGTTGTTTCTTAAATTTATGTATCTTATAACATGATGATGTGGTCTTATACTCTACTTTTTATTAAATTTTGCAAACAAAAAGATCGAATGAAGTATGAAGATTGTTAACCTTTGGACAGGTCATATATGTATTGAATGAAGAAAATCAATATCTACTTAATCAGAAAAAATGTAAATGGTTAGCATCAGGAGAAAAACAAGGAGGTAATTATAAGTCATAAAACTTGTTGTGCTTGAATTCACACCAATAAGTTCCCATGGATAGAAATCATTTGCTAGTGCCACCATTTTCTTGATTTGTTGTCGACTATTACACAAATTTTGTTTATTGCAAGTAAAACCAAGATGATTCCAGTCTGATGAAAGAGGTGGATCACCTTGTACAAGTGTAATGCTAAAATATAGACGAGGAAATATTGTCACCGTACTGGCATTTCTACATTCTCCTTCAAAGTCAGCCTTGCCATTTTCGATAATTTCATATCCATGACATCCATAGCCATTTTGACATGTTATGGGTTGATCTTGATTATTCGAACACTGTTGTACATTGGTTACCATTGGATCGAATAGTTCAGCTCGTATTTTGTTTATTATCGGTTCATTTTGAATTAGTGTTTGTATAGTTGACTTATAGAATACTTTTGCACAGTCAGCGACGGTCTTACAAATATATGTGATGTTGGCATTCATAATCGTTGGTTCATCAAATTTATTTTGAACTGATAGATCTAGATGGTAATTCCCAATCTGATCATCTCCACCGGTAAAATTCAGATGAATTTCTTTTGTTAAATAATTCATACGAAAAACTACTTGACAAACATTAGCTTCAACAAATTTTCCTTCGCAATTTGGTGGAAATGCTGCTGGATTATTGAATGATAGCGCAATATCATTACAATTTGTGCACATGAGACAATTAACCAGACATAGGCTTGAAATTGAATACAGAAGCGTCAAAGTCGTTTTAACAAGCATCATCATCAATGTAGTAGTTACTCCACATGCAGAAAATGAAAGAGAAACGAAGTTTAAAAAGCCTTGCGTTGTTGTTAGATAACAGGTGTGTTTTATCATTATGACCAAGATATTATCTGTTTGAGTTTTATTGCACTGTTCACGTTTACTAAGCACAAGCCAAGTTTTTCTTTTGTTAACTTGGGAATATGGTTAGGCGTCCAAATACATTTGGCTTCAATATTTTACCCACAATTACAGGATAGTATTCTGAGGAAAAGCCTAAGAGGACACGAACATCTTTTGCTTGGTTCAGATGTTATGAATTTTTTTCGATTTTCCACAGAGTCATAGAACTCGATAAATTAGGTTCAAAAGGCGGAGTTTGTGTTTCTCCATGTCCTTGTCATTCAAAACAATAAGTGATAGACTTTCGATTTATAAACAATTTTTAGACATTTTCGCTCTGAAATTCTATATACCTAAGCCACAATGGTTAGTTACATCTCAAATGCTAAATATTATTAAAAGATTCTAGTATTTGCCGACGAAATCTGAACCAAGTATGGGACAAGAATTGTTGTGAATTAATCGATCGTATTGAGGCTGAGGATGAAGTAAAGCCTAAAGCGGATTACGTGTCAGTTTTTTGACTTGTTCGAGTTCCAATCTCACGGAGAGTTTTTCAACAAAATCTACCATCATTTCATCATAATAGAAAAACTCGGATTCAGACTTGTTTTGTATAGCTCTACAACAAAGATACTTGTTTAGCACTGACAAGTTTCTCTCTTTCGTCAAAGATTCCAGTTAGAGACAAACACAATAAAGTAGGAAAAATCCAGAAGATGAAAAATCTATAAGAAAAATCCGAAAAAGAAAAATCAATGGAAGTAAAAATTCTGAAAAATAAAATATTGAATATCGCCATCGAGGATGAGAAAGTGTATGTTCTTATAATACATCGCTTTTTTTTTTATTTTTTTATTTTTTTATTATGCCAGAGAATGTAACACTCGGAAGTGCTTACATGATAATGGAAAAAGAAAATTGAGAACTGGGTGTGGGTGTGGCTGTGTGGGTGTGGGTGGGTGTGGGTGTGGGTGTGGGTGTGGGTGGGTGTGGGTGTGGGTGTGGGTGTGGGTGTGTGGGTGGTAGACCCCGTCGGGTCCAAAATTTTTGGACCCGAACCCGGACCCGTTTACAATTTGCTACACTTGTACCCGGATCCGGATCCGACCCGGACCCGGCCGCTTAAATTTTTTGGATCCAACCAAGATGATAAATCGGTTTCGATAATATATTCAAAAAGTCTTTTGTTGCTTTTTTGTATATTTTCTAAATATATTCAATTTTTTTCTTCATGAAACGAACAAAACTTTGAAAAAATTCACAATACATTGTATGCATCAAAGTTTTCTTCAGATCTGGACCCCACCCGGACCCGGTCACAAAAAAATTTCAGACCCGGAACCCGACCCGGACCCGGCCAAAACGAAATTTTTAGACCCGAACCCGGACCCGGACCCGGACCCGAGCGGGTCCGGGTCGGGTACGGGTCCGAGCCCTACCCGACGGGCTCTAGTGGGTGGGTGGGTGTGGGTGTGGGTGTGTGGGTGTGGCTGGGTGTGGGGTGGGTGTGGGTCTGGGTGGGTGTGGGTGTGGGGTGTGGGTGTGGGTGGGTGTGGGTGTGGGGTGTGGGTGTGGGGTGTGGGTGGGTGTGGGGTGTGGGTGGGTGTGGGGTGTGGGTGTGGGTGTGTGGGTGTGGGGTGTGGGTGTGG